AGCAATGAAGTATCTGCTCAGATCTGTTGTTCACTTTTAAATTGGGTTGTTGGTTTTCTTATGGCTGCATTTGCAGAGCTCTTTATACTCTGGACATAGTCCGTTGCTGGATACATGTTTGTTAGTATTTTCTCCCAGCCTGTGGCTTGTGTTTTCATTCCCCTAAAGGTGTTTGCAGATGTTTTTAATTTTGGTGAAGCCCAATTACCCATTTGTTCTTTTAGTGATCCTTCTGGTGTTGCATCTAAGAAAGTTTTACACAGCCCAAGGTCACAAAGATTTTCTCCTGGAAATTTTATACTTTTTTTTTTTACTTTGATCCATTTTGAGCTAATTGTCATGGGTCAGAAATTAATCAAAGTTCTTTTTTTTTTTAAATAAGGACATCAATTGTTCCTGCACCGTTTCTCGAAAAAACCAACACTTTTTGCAGTGAATTGTTGCATCTTTATCATTGAGATGCCCATGTGTGAGTCTATTTCTGTGCTCTCTCTTCAGCTCTGCTCACTTCTCCATCCTTACACCAACACTTTACACACTTTTCTTGTTACTGAAGCTTTATAATTAATCTTTTTATTTAAAAAATTTTAAATGTTTTATTTATTTCTAAGAGGAGAGAAAGACAGCGTGAGCAGGGGAAGGTCAGAAAGAGACAGAGATACAGAATCTGAAGCAGGCTCCAAGCTCTGAACTAGCTGTCAGCACAGAGCCCGACGCAGGGCTTGAACCCACGAGGCGTGAGATCATGACCTGAGCCGAAGTCAGATGCTTAACCGACTGAGCCACCCAGGCGCCCCTATCATTAATCTTTTTAAAAATTATTTTTTAAATGTGTATTTATTTTGAGAGAGATACAGAGCACAAGCGGGGAGGGGCAGAGAGAGAGGGAGATGCAGAATCTGAAGCAGGCTCCAGACTCTGAGCTGTCAGCACAGAGCTTGATGCAGGGCTTGAAGTCATGAATCCTGAGATCATGACTTGAGCTGAAGTCCAACACTTAACCGACTGAGACACCCAGGCGACCCTATAGTTAATCTTGAAATGAAATTAGTGTTAGTTCTCTGACTCTGTTCTTTCTTTTCAAAGTTGTTTGGCTATTTTGTTTAGGTCCTCTGAGTTTCCATGGGAATGTTAGAATCAGCATGTCAGTTCCCTCAAAAAAGCCTAATGGGATTGTCACTGGGATTGTGAGTGTACAGATAAATTCATGGAGAAGTGACACCCTGACACCACCTCTGGTTCGTTAGGCCATCTTCCGTAGTTTGTACAAAGTGCACAGACCTCTTACATCTTTCTTTCAGATTTATCCCTTCATATTTTTTATTATAATAGCTATTATACAGGTATTAAGTGGTATTATCTTTTAATTTCAATTTCCAGTTGTTTGCTGCTCGTATATAGAAATACAACTGATATTCACGTATTGATGTTGTATCCTGTAGCCTTGATCACTGGTTCCGGTAGCTGTTTTGTAGATTTCATCACAGATGACAATGTCATCTGTAAATAAAGAAGGTTGAATCCTCCTTTTATAATATGGACCCTTTCGCTTCTTTTTCTTGCCTGACTGGTTGGCCAGAATCTCTGGTGGGTTGGTAAGAGCTGACGTCCTTGTCCTGTCTGGGGTGTGAGGAGGAAAGTGTCCACTCTTTCACCATTAAGTGTGACGTTAGCTGTAGGTCCTTCCTTTATCAGACTGAGGAAGTTCCCTTCTATTTATTTATCTAGGGAAGTAAGGCAAATCTTGAGGGAAAAGTGGGAAGAGAGAGGTTATCAAGAGACAGAGGAAAAAGATAAAAGGGAGAAGCAGAGAAAGTTAGGAAATGAGGGACGTCCATCTGGGGCTCCTGCTGAACATCTCGGGAATATCAGCCAGGAAAACCCTTTTCCCACCCAGACTCGGGCAGTGGACATCTGCCTCGTACAGTACAGGCAGGCACTATATGCTAGAACACAGAAACAGTGCTTTAACTTCCCAAACCAGTTCTATTCCTGAATCTTTCCGTAAGAACCACTTTGAGCTCCCTTAGATTCTGTCTGTACTGTACTGGTTTTAGGAAAGGGTGGTCAGGCACTATCTGGAAGACCAGAAGGCTCCTTTGGTCAGAGGCAGCACCCTTACTGAATGGTAATGATCACCTAACTGTGGATCTTCAGTCAGCTGGGGAAACCACCAGGTGACTCCTCTACGTCGTCACTCTGCCTTCCCTGGCGGAGCGCGCCAGTGCCTCCCGGGATGAAGGGAGTCCTCACATACCTTTCCGAGGCTGTCTTGGGAATGTGTCCCATGTGAACAGTACCTTTAAGATGGCTCCCACAGACCCCCGCTTCCTGGGATTCATGTCCTTGTGTGATCCCCTCCCTAGAGTGTGACTCAGATGTCACTTTCAAGATGAGATAACTAAAAGGCTTGGATTTCTGTCTTCATCACCTTCTCTTTTTCTCTCACGTGCTCACATTGATGGAAGCCAACTGCTGTGTTGTAAGCAGACCCATGCAAAAGTACGCATGACAAGAAACCGAGGCCTCAGGCCAACAGCCAACGAGGACTGAGGCTCTCAGTTGAACAGACTGTGAAAATCAGAATCCTTCCACCAGCCACTGGAGTGAGTTTGGAAGCTTGGAACTTGCCCCCAGGTGAGTCAGGGGATCACGACAGCCCAGATTGACATGTTGACTACAGCCTTAAGACACATCCTGAGCCAAGGAACCCAGCTGTGCCCAGAGTCCTGACCCAGAGAATAATTAATGCCTGTTGTTGTTTTTCCATCCAGTAAGTGTTCATTTGAAATTGGAGACAGATTATAGAAAACTTCTGTGTGAATCTACCACAGCAGGTTACAAATCAACAGTGACCATGTAGAAAATGAAGAATAGGATTTAGTGCTAAACAACTTATTTAGGTGAGCAGATGCTTTCTAGAATGTTTACTTTTGATATAATGCCATATTTTCTCTATCTCTAATCCATTAATTTAAATCAGACCATGATCTTACCAAAATATTTTTTCGAGTGGTGGCCAACCACGCTCTTGTTTTAAGCTGTTAAGTGTTTTGGGTCATTTGTTACACAGGCACAGATAAGACACTCAGACATATTTTCCCAGGATGGTTCAGTTACCAAAAGGATTACTTGAGCTTAACATGAATTATGCTCACTACAGAGACAGAACATTCTTAGAATTTTGGAAGTCTCAGGACCCCAGAACTGTTCTATAATTTCTTTTTTTCTTTCTTTTTTTTTTTTTTTTTTTTTTAAGGCTAAGGACAAGTGGGCTTGTACTTTATTTATTTATTTTTTATATGTTATTTATTTCTAGGAGAGAGAGAGAGAGACAGCGTGAGCAGGGGAGGGTCATAGAGAGAGGGAGTCACAGACTGAAACAGGCTCCAGGCTCTGAGCTGGCAGTCAGCACAGAGCCCAACATGGGGCTCGAACCCACGAACCACGAGATCATGACTAAGCGAAAGTCGGACGCTTAACCGACTAAGCCACCCAGGTGCCCCTGTTCTATAATTTCTATCTGTAGGACCCAAATTTGGGCCTATTTGGGTTCACCTGTGGTAATTCCATTCTTTTTCATGAAACTGAGTCTGAGAGACCTCATCAACAGTGTAAAAGGAACTGTAATTTTTGGAAGTTACTAGTCAGCAATGAGATGTACCATAAATGCATATAGCAAGCGGCTCTCTGGAACATTCAGTCTGTTAAATACCAGTTTTCTCACTGATCTGTTAAAGATGGATGGATTGATGACTGGTATCAGGTCTATAGATACACTTTTAAGTTGATTGAACTTTTTTGTGTGTCTCTGTATTAATATAACTAGTCTCACTTCACTGTTATCAATTTAAAAATGTATGTAGGCTCTACACATATGGATTTCTGATTATTTGGTGCATTACTGAAAACTCAAGGGCTTAGGCCAACCTCCTAAAGTTCTTCTGAGTTTATTGACTAATTAGTTAATGAAAATATTCAGCCAAAGAACATTTATTTAGTGCCTACTAGGCACTGGGGTTATGGAGAAAGTAAACTTCTGGGGGCACCTGGGTGGCTCAGTCGATTAAGTGTCCGACTTCGGCTCAGGTCATGATCTCACGGTCCGTGGGTTCGAGCCCCGCATCGGGCTTTGTGCTGACAGCTAGCTCAGAGCCTGGAGCCTGCTTCAGATTCTGTGTCTCCCTCTCTCTCTGCCCCTCCCCCACTCAAGCTCTGTCTCTCTCGGTCTCAAAAGTAAAATAAATATTTAAAAAAATTTATTAACAAAAAAGAAAGTAAACTTCTGCCTTCAAGGATTTAAAAATAAATGATTAATAATGATATTATTAATTTTTACTATGGAGAAAACATACTAGTTTTTGATATATTAAATTTATGGTGGTGTATAGTTCAGATTTTAGCAACATTTATATTTTCAACACTAGTGTTTACAGTATAAAAGTTCCTGTTTGCAGTGCCTGGGTGGCTCCGTCAGTTGACTGTCCAACTTTGGCTCAGGTCACGATCTCACAGTTTGTGAGTTTGAGCCCTGCGTCCGGCTCTGTGCTGACAACTCAGAGCCTAGAGCCTGCTTTGGATTCTGTGTCTCCCTGTTTCTCTGCCCCTCCCCTCTAAAAAATAAGTAAACATTTAAAAAAAAGTTCCTGTTTTATTGCTCTTGAAGCATAATTGCCTGTTTCTATCATGACAGGGTTGATAGTAATGCCTTTGTTGTTATGACTCAGGAACACAACCTAAACACATGGCTTGAATGGAAAAAATGTAACCCAGTTGATGATATGCTTTCCTGGAATGCACCATACAAAGACGTGGCTGCCCAGAAGAACAATAAATTTGTATTTCGTGTTCATTTAATTACAGAATTAGAAGAATGTTTAAGATATACATTTGAATCATTTGAAAACGGCATTTTTTGTGTGTAGTTGTCTTCAATGCTGCTTTTGCAATAAAGCAGACAAAAAATATGCTAAAAGGTTTTAAAACGAATGAACGCATACCTGCTGTCCTTTATCAAACGTTCCTAAGGTGTGTGAAGGTAACTATATGTTCGGAGCAGACGGATCTTCACACCATAGTATTTATGAGGTTTCCAGGGCAGTATTTTTTGACATGTTTTGGTCTCTTTTTAAGGGAAGAATATACTTCAAAAAACCTAGAATAACATTACAAAAGGAAAATGTCAAGATCTCACAAGTAAACATTTATATAAGAATCAGTTAAAAGTTTTGAATCGGTAATTATTAACTTACATATACTCATTTGTATATGGATTGCTATATACTTCACACACTAGGGCTTCTTCTCCGTCATAGTGAATCAGCTCTTTGCACTGATCAGGAAGTGAGATTTAAAGGAGCCACAGGAGGGGCCCTTGGGTGGCTCAGTCAGTTGAGCGTCCAACTTTGGCTCAGGTCATGATCCCATGCTTTGTGGGTTCAAGTCCCACGTCGGGGCTCTGTGCTGACAGCTCAGAGCCTGGAGCCTGCTTCGGATTCTGTGTCTCCCTCTCTCTCTGCCCCTCCCCTGCTTACGCTCTGTCTGTCTCCCAAAAATAAATAAACATTTAAAGAAAATTTAAAGGAGCCACAACAGAGCAGCACCTTTGAAAATGCTGTGGGTAGAACAGAAGATTGTGTGGCTTGACCTGCCTGTTCCTTCCTTCCAGTGCAAAGTTGAACATGAATAATCAAAATTTTGGGGTTACATGTTACTTTTTTTTAAAATTTTTAATGTTTATTTATCCTTGAGAGAGTGAGAGAGACAGAGAATGAGCAGGGAAGGAGCAGAGCGAGAGGGACACAGAATCTGAAATAGGCTCCAGGCTCTAAGCTGTCAACACAGAGCCCGACACGGGGCTCGAACCCATGAACCGTGAGATCATGACCTGAGCCGAAGTCGGATGCGCAACCGACTGAGCCACCCAGGTGCCCCTGGGGTTACATGTTACTTACCTGCAAACAACAAAAATAAGAAAAGGAAGACTCTCCTGCTAGTGCTGGTGGGCGCTGGATCTTATTGCAGAAGCACTGGTATTACAGATGTGGTATTATATAATAAAATTTGCTCTTCTGGCTCAACAGTCTCACAAATTATTACATTTTTGGCTACTACTACAACCAGAAAAATCCCAATTCTTAAAGTAAATGTTCTATAGTGAAGTTGTAACTCAATCTTGGGAATGATTTAGTTTTCAAAGGTTACAACTATGTTTCCCACCCCAAATTATTTTGTGGGGAGGTAACTGTATTCTTAACCAGTCCTGCTTTATGGAAAACAATGGCTTGACATTCTAGTTTTCCCTCTTTTCTTATCCATTCTCAACACTGGCTACTTCCTTTCCCACTTTATTTTTCCCTGTGGCACGTATCACTATTGGACACAATCCATATTATTCTTATTTAGCTTATCGGTTGCCTGACTTCCCCAATGACGTGTGAGCTTCTTGATTCCAGTATTCTGTTTGTCTACTGCTGCATCCCCAGTAACCATAAGAGTTCCCAGGAAAAAACACGTGTTCAATAAGTATTAATTAAATAAATTAATGGTTACAGTGCTTCTATGCTCCCTCAATTCCTGTCTCCATACCCATTACTCCTGACAAGCTTTTCACTGCTGCTGACCCAACTCGAAATGCCCTAAGTGACCTAAACGGATGCTTTTCCAATATGATAGACAAATAGATGTCTCAAACTTAAAAGCTGGCCTCACGCTTACTAGTGAAACAGGAATGTACGTTGCAGCAGGGATTAAGATAAGGCTGCCCATTATCACTTCTGCTAATGAATACTGTTTCGGGCACACTAGGCAGTGAAATTAGATGTGAGAATTAAGAGGAATACACATTAGGAAAGAAAAGCCCAATTACACACTATGCAAATATTATCATGTGCAGATGGCATGACTGTATGCTTAGAAAACCCTAAAACCACTATAAAATGAAGAATATTTAATAAAACTGTAGTTACTAAATGGATATAAAAATCAATCTTTTCTATATGCAAATTAAAATGACTTAGAAAATGGATGACAGGCACTTGGGTGGCCCTATCGGTTAAGCACCTGACTTTGGCTCAGGTCATGATCTCGTGGTCATGAGTTTGAGCCCCCCGTCGGACTCTGTGCTGACAGCTCGGAGCCTGGAGCTGCTTCAGATTCTGTGTCTCCCTCCCTCTCTGCCCCTCCCCTGCTCACACACTCTCTCTCTCAAAACTAAATAAACATTAAAAAAATTTTAAAAAAGAATTAACACTAAGAAGAGAGGGAGAACGCTGTAAGGAAAAGGCACATGTAGCAAGGCATCGGAGGGGCAGTGCCAGCGCTGCCAGTACGGCTAGCTGTTTGACATCAGCCGTCTAATGTCTGCACTTCGCTATCTGTCCTCAATAACGTCTAAGGTCCAGTGCAGCACGAAAATCCATAAATTAAATGTATCTACATATGTCAGAAATTTCAAGTCTTATTGGATAATATGAAAATCTGCCATGTTCAGTGTCTGGCTGGTTATAGACAAGCGATGTAGATTTCGGTCATTTTACAACTTGATATACTTTATTTATTTTTTGACCAAAACCTTGCATTCATGACCAGACCCTGATCCCCAAGAAGTGCCTTCCGGATGAGAAATGAGAAACTGCCTCTACCTCCACCAAGTGGTGGCTAATGCAACATACCACATGACGCTAAAAAAACCCTGAAGGTGAGTTTAGGGCTACACTTCTAGAGGTGTACATTTTCAGCTCCCCTCCTGGCCACGGCCACCTTTCCTTCTAATTTTCAGTGCTGGCCTGATTATTTTTTCCTAGAATTTTTCTTCTAATCAACTGTACTAAAATGCCTTACATTTGATATATCTCACACATTAAAATGTTCATTTCGTTCATTCTTTCAACACGTATTTGGGAGCTTTCTATGTGCCCGAACTGTATGAGGTGTGGGGGGTGCAAGGAACGCAAGAGGAAATGTTTCTCTTTCCATGGGGCTTAGGTGCTGGTAATGAAATAATCACAATAGGGACAATTCTAAGTGTTTTCGAGGAAAGAGGGGCAACTCTGTGAAGCGGTATGACAGAGAAACCTGATCCGGGCCGTGGAGGTTGGAGAGAGGGGCCGCCTGAGCTGCGACGGGTCAGTGGGGGCTAACCACGCAAAAAGGAATGGAGGGCAGGAAGGAAGGACACGCAGATGGACAGGAGACACTTTCAAAGCCCGGGGGCTTTGAGTCTGCCAAAGGTCGGGGGGCCTGAGACGCACGCCCACAGGACGACAGGGGTGTGATCTGGGTCACGAATCCGAGAGCAACGAGAAGCCAGCCGGGAGCAGCAGCGGCACGCTGGGAAGAACCACATAATTTGCTCTGCTTTCTGAAGGTCCCTCCGGCTGCACTGTGGAGCGCAGAACCGAGAGAAGCCAGAGGAGAAGATTCCGGAAGGCTGGAGAAAGAAGGGGGCAGCTTGGGCTAAGGTGCCAGTGGCAGTTGAGAAGTGAACGATGCACGGGAGACAGTGTCACCAGGGCTTGGTGACCTGCTGGATGCTGCTGAGCGAAAAGGCCGAGCAGGAATCCCCGGGCCAAGGTGAGGGGTCCCGGCGGGGGTGGGGGGCGTGCGGCGGGGTGGGAGAGGCCTGTCTGTGCACCTGGAGCCGGCGTGGAGCGGTACTAAGAGGAAAGGCCGTTCTGCCACCGGACACACGGGTCAGCTCAGAGAAGGGGGCCCAGCCGGAGGGGTGAAGTTGGGAGTCCGTAGAGACGGGCATTCGTGTAGATGGTGTGCACAGATTTGTGCCTGGTCTCGGCATACGGGGGCACAGGAGAGAACGCGAGAACAGACTGAGCTCTGAGGAACTGCAGCATCAGGGGCCCCGGACAGCAGAGCGAGCCAGCACGCTAGCAGAAGCCGGAAGGGTGGGGTGTTGGGGCGCAGAAGCCGAGGGAAGACAGCGCTTCAAGAAATGGGAGCAGCCGTGCCAAAGGCAAGTGCTGCTGAGGGGCTGAGCAGGGGCTTTGTCTCAGTGCAGAGGTGAGGGCGGAGGGCGGACTCCAGCGGCTAAGGAAGGAGACGCAGGGAGGGGACACACGGAGCGGGCAAGCCTTTCCTAACGTTTGCCCGTCGAAGGGAATGAGAGTTTGGGCAATCGCTGGAAAACGAAAGGGAACATGGGATCAGAAGAGATTTTTTTTTTTGTCTCTCTCTCCTGGGACGGGAGACTGGAGCGTGTTTCAAAGCCAAGGGTAAGAGCCGGTTGAGACGCAACAGGTGACAGCTGAGAGTGAAAGCGTAGGTTCGGACAAGCGGGTGAGGATGGGGCCCAGGGCATGGGGAGGGGGGGGCGGCGGGGAGGACCCAGGACAGGATGAACAACGTGCGGATCGACGCCGGGAAGGCTTCTGTTGTGGCGGCTGGAAATTGAGGAGATTCCCAGAGACGGGAAGTGACGGCATGAGGGGGGAGTGTGAGGTCAAAGTTGAGGTTTGTGATCTGCAATATCCCGTGCACCCCCTACAAGCAGCCTACCCTGCCACTCGGGGCAACTGGGGTTTCCCTTGGTGGAAAAGAGAAAAAGTGGGGGCTGGGTATTTGCGACAGCCAGGGTGCAGGTGCGTGGGGGCTGTGTGCTCCCCGAGGGAGGGGACCGTCCTGTGAATCGCTGCAGCACCCTGTGACTGATGGACTGGGGTCCCAGCGCCCAGGCACTTACTATCAACACGACCAGCACTGGGATGATCATTGGTCTCCATTTCAATTCGCCTCTTTTGGTGCTTCTCTAAAAAGCCAAAGATGAAAGAGAAGGGAATAAACAGAGCCTAAATTCCTACACGCCCTCTTTTTCTCACTTAAAAGGAGGCCCCGGATTTTTTTTTTTTTTTTTTAACTCTTCTGTACAGCCAGTTTTAAAATTCTTGTTAAAGTTCAGCCCAGGGACACAGATACCCAAGAAGGCTGACGGGCATCTTTCGATTTTTAGCTTGTTAACAGTAAGGTGTTTATGTAGCTCTGGCTACCTGGTTTAAAAGTTGAAATCTTCAAAATACATACTAAAAATTATTTTTATCTGTGCAAACTATGAAATTCGTATTATTAAAAGAAAACCGTATTCACTTGAAACAACAGAAAAAGGTAAGACTGTCTACATTCAGGGGAAGAAGGGCAAAAGTAAGCAGGGAGACCAAATTAGGAGGCTACTGAAATGATCCAGGCACCAGAGGATGGTGGCCTGGACTGGGGTCGTGATGGTGGCGGGCGGGGGGCGGGGGGTGTTGGAGAAAAGACAGGATTGTGCAATCTTTTCGGGGTACATTATGAAGGATGTGTTGGCAGACTGAATGTAGGAAGGAAAAAGGCATTACTGGTTTCCAGTAACGGGGTGTGTAAAGTGTGGGAGGAGCAGGTGTGAGGGGCTGTCAGGGGTTGCCTTAGACATCCAAGTACAGATGTGGGCAGGCATCTGAGTACACGGGTCTCAAGTTCAGTGGACGCTCAGGGCTGGAGATAGATACTTCTGGGGCTCGTTGGCATTTAGACGGGATTTGAGCCCATGGCACTGGATGAATTCATCTAGGGAGCCAGCGTAGATAGGACACAGGTTCAAGGTCACGTTCGGCAGTGGAAACCCCCATCCTTAAAAAGTCACCTGTTGGCACAAGTGTGGCAATGAAATGTTAAAGCGCTAAGGGGAAACTGTGGACAAAGAGCTCCAAGGCTGAGCGAGTGAGGAACAAACACTGTGCAGAAATTTCAAAGAATTCCCATTTCCACGGGCTGAGGATCAAGAAACGTCAGCGCCGAGGTTAGCGCGGTGCGCGGGGAACCAAAGCTGGAAGGTAGACGTGAAGCTGCAGGTCTCAGCTTCAGACATCAAATCAGGCGAAAGCTGCAGGTGGGGGACGGTTGGGGGGTGAAAGCGGCCCCGCGCTACCAGGTGAAGACGATCCAGTCCCTTTCCCTGGCGCCTGGAGGTGTACGGACTGGTCGGAGGGTCCCCCCTGCCCGAATGCCTGTGTGGCCAGGCCGTGTGCGCAGGGCTCGCAGTCGGGGGACTAGGAGTGGGGGCGCGGCGTGGGCGGGCGAGGGCGCAGGGCCCCACCCGGGTGCGAGGGCGCGGCGTGGGCGGGCGAGGGCGCAGGGCCCCCACCCGGGTGCGAGGGCGCGGCGTGGGCGGGCAAGGGCGCAGGGCCCCTACCCGGGTGCGAGGGCGCGGCGTGGGCGGGCGACGGCGGGCGACAGCGCAGCCCCCTGATCCCGGCGGGAGCGCACGCCGACGCCGGCTCTTCACCCCGCGGCGCTCCGCGGGAGGAGGCGGACGGCGGCCCCGCTACGTTACCAACTGGAGCGAGAGCGAGGTTGCGCGGCCCGAGCCGGGCAGGGGCCGGGGCTGAGCGACCGGCGGCGCCGGAGGGCCCGGAGGCGTGAGCAGGAGGAGGACCTGGCTGGGACCGGGCAAGGCCGTTACCTGCTCCACGCGGCTCCCGCGGCCTCCGGGCTCCCCCGCGTCGCCCTGGAAACCCGCGCGCGAAGCCTCCTGGGACTGGAGGCCCGACGGCCCCGCGCGTGCGCGCTGCTGAGCGGAGCGTAGGGAAGTGGGTCAGGTAGCCTCCCGCTCCCCACGTGCGCGCCCGGGGCCGCCGCCTGCGCCCTGGCCGCGTCTGGGCTGGCGAGCCGGTCCCGCGGCCGGCCGGCCGTTCCTCCGCGGTCTCGGTCGCGCTCGGCCCTGTACCGGTGGTTAGAATCCGAGTCCACTGCGAGGTGCATGGACCTGGAGCTGAGCGCTCCAAGTTGGCTGCTACGCAGGCGGCGACAAAGAGTGGACCCGGTCAGGCGGGTGTAGACGCTGGGTTCCCCGGGGGAGGGGTGGGCCCAGGCGGGCCGGCGTGGAGTCATCGTCCCTGTCTGGAAAGGGAGTGGACGGAGACCAGAGCGCCCCTGTTAATCTCTCTTTATAAAGATGAATTTCTACGGTAAAAAGAAAATCGGATCCCCAAACAATGTGTGTTTCTTGTCGAGAATTCAGAACGTTACAGCAAAGCACGAAGAAAAATTAAAAATCACCTAGAGTATGGAATTGCAGGTGATTTTTAATGATTACCTAGGAATTTTAAATGCATAGGCAGAACTAATGAACATTTATTTTTTCTTCTTTTGCCCTTACCCTCATTGTATTAATGGCATGTTGGGTATCCGCGTAATTGAATCTTTGAGGTGTGAAGCTTAGAGGGAAATCTCACCAAAGTAGGTCTGAGGCTGGGGAGCGGGGGGCTTACCACTCAACTCAATTACAGGCTCCAGCAGAAGAGTGTTAGCAGGAAACAATGATCGATTCCGGTCCCAACAGGGAGAGATGAGCACTCCATTTCCTACAACAAATCGGCCACTCCTGCCACCCAGCCAATGAGAATGGGTCATCCCCCCTGAACTGCTTTCCTGGATGGACTTCTGAACCCTTTCCAACTTCTTCCTTCTCCATAAAATACTGTTCCTGTCCCATTTGTTGGGACTTGCCTAAGATTTTGCCATAGTTCAAATGTCCCAGGTTGCAATTTTCTCTTATTCCCCAATAAACCTATTTGCTGGGTTTTAATAATGGACAGTTTATTTTAATGTTTATTTATTTTTTTGAGAGACACAGTGCTAGTGGGGGAGGGGCAGAGAGAAAGGGAGACCTAGAACCTGAAGCAGGCTCCAGGCTCTGAGCTGTCAGCACAGAACCCCACGTGGGGGCTCAAACTCAGGAACCGTGAGATCATGACCTGGGCGGAAGTCAGATGCTTACCCTACTGAGGCACCCAGGAGCCCCTCTGACAGTTTTAAGGTTAACAGAGGTCATTCCTGACACCTTGGAATAAATTCTTACATGTGAAATTGGAAGATCAAAGGATATACCCACTTTGAGGCTTTTTTTTTTTAATGTTTTTATTTATTTCTGAGAGAGAGAGACAGCATGAGCAGGGGAGGGTCAGAGAGAGAGGGAGACACAGAATCTGAAACAGGCTCCAGGCTCTGAGCTAGCTGTTAGCACAGAGCCCGACGCGGGGCTCGAACCCACAAACTGTGAGATCATGACCTGAGCCAAAGTCAGATGCTTAACCGACTGAGCCACCCAGGCACCCCAAGGCTTTTTGAAGGTGTAGGAAAATTTGCCTTCCAGGCAATCTCTTCCAATCCTTAACCCACATTGGGGATGATCTCTTTCTGTTTTTAAGTTTATTTATTTATTTTTAAGTTTATTTATTTTGAGATAGAGAAAGAGTGCGAGCAGGGGAGGGAAAGAGAGAGAGAGGGTCAGAACAGAGTCCGACGTGGGACTCAAACTCACAAACCATGAAATTGTGACCTGAGCTGAAATCAAGAGTCAGTGGCTTAACCGACTGAGTCATCCAGGCGCCCGTGGGGATGATCTTTTAAATTTAATTTCTTTAAAAAAACGTTTGCCCATTTAAGGTGGACACTTTATTTCAATTTTATTCACGTCTTTGATTGCTAGGAAGGATAGACATTTTTTCATATTTTTAGCAACCATTTGTACTTACTTTGTGATTTGCCTTTTCCTGCCCTGTGCCCATTTTTTCACTTATGTTCATGTTTGTAGAACTCTTGATGTTCTGTGAAACACAGGTCTGGCATATGAAAACGTGGTCTGTGGTATATGTTAAAAATATTTCCTCCAGTTTGTCAATTGCTTTCAAATTTTGTTTGCAATGTATTTTGATATTTGTGCAGAGCCAGCTTTATCACATTTTCCCTATACGGCTTTTGCATTTGGACTGTAGGCAATAGGGGCAGAGGGCATTTCCACACTGACTCTGCTTAGATCTTGTTTTTTAGGGGTGGGTAGGGGACAAGGCTTCCTCTTCACGTCACCACCCCTTCCTTCTCGTGCTGTTAGAGTGCCCACTCTTAATGTTACAGGTGGGCTGTGTCTGTACAACCTGGGATGGTGAGTTATTCCTATAAGGTGGGTGGTAGCAGTTTTTGTTGTGCTGAGTTGGGAAAGATGTCTACTTTATGGCCGGTGGTGCTGTGGGAACAGTAATAAACATGGCGGTTTTAAAAGTTGGTTTTTTTTTTAATGTTTTATTTATTTCTAGGAGAGAGAGAGAGAGAGAGAGACAGCATGAGCAGGGGAGGGTCAGAGAGAGAGGGAGTCACAAACTGAAACAGGCTCCAGGCTCTGAGCTGGCAGTCAGCACAGAGCCCGACGCGGGGCTCGAACCCACGAACCGCGAGATCATGACCCAAGCGAAAGTCAGACGCTTAACCGACTAAGCCACCCAGGCGTCCCTAAGTCCTCTAACTTTTAACACCTTTCAATGGTCTTCATAAATCAGGTGGACAGAGACTGTGACTTTGAGGTCTCGCGGCGCCTGCGCACTAGTGAAGACAAGGTGCTCGCTGAACTCCTCCCTTCGGACAGCCCGCCTCCGTCGCCCCGCCTCGTCCGGGACGTCAGTGAAACCGTACCCGTCTGCGGCCTGTCAGCCTCCGTGTTTTAGGAGGAACAGGTGGCAAAGGGAGAAAACTGGCCACGGGCCACGCGTCAAGGAATCTATTGGAGGAGAGTTGGCCGAGCTGTTTTCACAGGCCGGAAAGCTCGAAAGTCGGGAAGCCTCCGTTTGTCTCAGGGACCCTCGCTGTGCGTTTGCCAAACGCCTCGCGAACCCGGCGTCCCCGGGGACGCCGCTGGCGTCTTCTGGGCTCTTCCAGCGCCGCGCGCCTCGCCACCGCCGGCGCCCGCCTCCCTCCGCCCGCCCGCCCGCCGTCTGATTGGTGCGCGGCGCAGCCTTGCCTTTTAGGGGCTGTTGTCGGGCGTTCAAAGGCAGAGGCTGCTTTTATCGACCAATCACGTATTGGCCTGGCAGAGGGCCCCGCCCCTCCCCGCTCCCGGGCCAATGGCGGGGAGGCTCAGGCCGCCGCCGGCGCCGCTCCGGGCAGGCGCAGAGCTTAAGTGGCGGCGGGAGGAGCGGGGGCTCAGAGCGCGCTGGGCGGCCGCCGGCTCGCACCTGGCGCCCGCTGCCCGCTCGGCCGGCCGGGCTAGCTCCGCGTCCCCGCCCGGGGCTGTGTGTCGGGGGGAGTCCTCTTTCCGACTGTCAAAATGGTTATCAAAGTGTTTGTTGCCACTTCTTCGGGGTCCATAGCGGTAGGTGTCTGACGCAACTCGTGGGGGCTTTCTTCCTCTGGGGCTTTCGGAGGAACTCAGACCGGGGAGCGGACGCGGCGGGTCCGGCCCGGCGTTGGCCTTCCTTTGTTTTTGGAGGAGTGTGTGTGTAAGTGTGTGCGTAAGCCTGCGCGCCTTCGCTGTGTGCGGCCGTTTCAACGTGTCGGAGGCGTGTGTGTGACACGAGGGAGCCAGGGCAAGCTGGGCGTGCAAGGGGATTCCACGAAGGGGGCGTGTGTGACGCCAGAATGTTTCACCTGTGATTTGTGTCGTGGTGTGTCGCATACGTTATAGAATCGGAGGCTTTTGATTAATTAATTTTTTGGTGGCGTGTTTCAGCCATTCATTCTGTAGGACTTGAGACTGGTTTAAAATTGCGAATACATAATATTTGGAAGGTGTGCCAAACCCCATTCCTAAAATGACTCCTGGGTGTGATTGCAAGTGACCCTTGAACAATGCAGGGGTTAGGGGCACGGACACTTGCACAGTGGAAAATCCCTGTACAACTTTTGACCCCCCAAAACTTTACTAATGGCCTCCTGTTGACCGGAAGGCTGACTGACAACATAAACACTCGGTTCACACATGTTTTGTATGTTCTACGTAATATAAACTGTATCCTTACAATAAGTAAGCTGGAGAAGAGAAAAAGGTATTAAGAAAATCATGAGGGAGAGGAAATGCGTTTATAGGACTTTCTGTATTTATAGGAAAAAGAATCCACCCATAGGTGGACCCCGTGCAGTTTAAACCTGCGTTGTTCAAGGGTCATCGGTACCTGCGCGTGTGATGTGACCAAAGCGAAAGTGTAAAGTTGGCGTGTGTAATAGTATTATTTGAGGAAAATGATGTCACAGTGACAAGAACAGATATCTCTAAGGCGACAGTTTTAAACGCTCTAGGAATTCAGACAGACCAAAAATAGGCACAAAAAGCCGACCCCCCTAACACTGTGCGGCTGACTTTCCCCGCTCAGACTCATCCCTCCAGTTCCAGCCTTCTTTCTGTGCAGGATAGACCTGCCTGATGTTACAGGGGTAACCCAGGGAGCTGCTTGTCCTTGGCAGTGATTTACGCCTTGATTTTAGGCTTGAACCTGCGGTGTCTGTCAGTCTGAGACTGATATTTCCATGAGAATTTGGGCATTTAGGGGGCCAAAGGGAGAAAGCTGTTTTATCAGTCCTGAGGGTTGGACACCAGCAAGGGGGCTGTTTCCTTTTATATCTAGTTCCTGGGCCGTCTTGCTGCTTGGATTTCACTCAGCCCTGGTGATACCCTAGGCCAGCGCAGGCCGGGAACAGCCCCAGTGCTGGCTCTCGAACGCCCCCACCCACAGCCCTGAAAGTTCGCGCAGTTTCTAGAGGGCAAGAAGAAAACAAGAGAGGAGCCCGCAGGTCCCTCTGGGCACAGCGCATAAGCGACCGCTCAGTATCTCTGAAAATGTCTTTTAACAGAAACGGGAGGGAACATTCCAGATGTAAAGCTGCAAAATCTTTTGTGTTGACTCAGAAACTTTGAGTTGATCCTCAGAGAGCACAGTTTTGGATTACTAGATAAAACGTGATTGTTCTTGAAGAAAATGGCTTAAGTGGGCTTTCAGTATATGCTGCTGACACTCATTGTGGGCTATTCTTTCCACTGACCTGCCGATCTTTCCTACATGTTCTGTGCCTTAGGCTTCATTCCAGAGACCGTGAACAAACTTGTGGGTGTCTTAGGATTATCTGAGGTCTTATAGTGGTGACGCTTGCGTACGTGATTGAGTTAGCCTTGGAAGATCTGGAAGGGCACCGTTCATTCCAGGGTCTCGGAAAAGCCACGTTACCTCTGGTTCCCTGAGCAAATGTTTTGTGGCCGCTTGGAACTCTTTGACCTTGGGAAAGTTACTTCACCTTGCTAAGCCTCAATTTCCTTATCTGTAAAATGAGGATAAGAATAGGACTCATCTCAGGGCGTCCTCTTGAGGATTTAGGAAAGAAGGCATGGAGTGCACTGTGTGGTGTCGAGTGCTCAGTCAGTGCTTAATACGTAGTACAATTATTAATTTTATAATTGTTACATATGGCTGCTTAATTTAATTATTATAGCTATTAGGTATTATATTGTTAGCTCATGTTAGTTAATATTGATCAGTATTATTGTAGTTGTTATAATTAGTTAATATTAGTACTGTGATGATGGTGTTTCAGAAGGATTGCCCCAAGCCACTTAAGTGGAATGATTTCTGTCTTATCTTAAAGAATGAGAACTGATTACTCCCATGGTATCAGTGCTACTGATTTTTCCTGGGCAGGGGGATTTTATCCAGAAGCTTCTTTGCAGGGGCACCCCAGAGCATCTGCCAGCACTGATGCTGTGTATGTGGTGGTCGTTCTGCAAAACCTTTACTACTTATTTCTTCAGTGTCTCTAGTTTTAAAAATGGATTCTTGCCTGCAACCTAGTCGACGAGGGCATGTGATTTCTGTTGGATGAACAAAATTAATGAAAAAGGAAACAACAGGGGCGCCTGGGTGGCTCAGTCGGTTAAGCGTCCGACTTCGGCTCAGGTCATGAGCTCACGGTCCGTGGGTTCGAGCCCCGCGTCGGGCTCTGTGCTGCCAGCTCAGAGCCTGGAGTCTGTTTCAGATTCTGTGTCTCCCTCTCTCTCTGACCCTCCCCCACTCGTGCTCTGTCTCTCTCTCAAAAATAAATAAACATTAAAAAATTGTTTTTAGAAAAAGGAAAAAGCAAAGTGTAATCTCTTTATGAGGGCTTCCGCATATGCAGCTGTGTGTCACATATCCGAACGGTTGTTCACAAAGCACTGCCATGTATTTTAGCGCTTTACAGAGGACTGTGGGTGAAGAGACCCTGGTCGCAGGAGCAGATCTGTGTCTTCCTGAAGGCCAGTGCCGAAGGCCGAGGGGACCAGGGGAGAGAGGACTGTCCTCATTTTTTTTAGATGCATAGCGCCTGGAACCTTGATCTTTAAAAAATTTTTTTTCATTAATTTTTTTAAATGTATATTTATATTGAGAGAGAGACACAGAGAGACAGGGCATGAGCAGGGGAGGGGCAGAGAGAGAGGGAGACACAGAATCTGAAGCAGCTCCAGGCTCTGAGCTGTCAGCACAGAGCCCGATGTGGGGCTCAAACTGGTGAACCGTGAGTTCATGACCTGAGCCAAAGTCAGACGCTCAACCAACTGAGCCACCCAGGCACCCCTGGAACCTTGATCTTAAGGACAGACCCTAATGGTGGCTCCTGTGTTTCTCGATCCTTTCTCCAGCCTTGATTGAGTGTAAATATAGTGGGGGAAATCTTGGCTCTTTAATGAGATGGATCTGGGCATAAATCTTGGAAAACTCCTTAATTCACCAGTGCCTCAGCATTGTAATTTTAAAATGGTGATCAGAGGGCCGCCTGGGTGGCTCAGTCAGTTAAGCATCTGACTTTTGGTTTCAGCTCAGGTTCTGATCTCACAGTTTGTGAGTTTGAGCCCCACATTGGGCTCCGTGCTGACAGTGCAGAGCCTGCTTGGGAGTCTCTCTCTCCATCTCTATCTGCCCCTCCCCTGGTTGTTCTCTCTGTCTCTCTCAAAAATAAATAAACTTAAAAAAAATTTTTTTTAAAAACGGTGATCGGAGTACTTTACCTGGCCTGGTAATGGGGATGGGTCAGTGAGGTAACAGTGTGGGTGCCTGACCACGCAGCCTCTCACCTTGTGCAAAATGCTTGTCCACACACCGTGTTCCCTGGTTCTCACTAGAGCCTGGCGCTTTACCCGTTTTGCAGGCGAGGCAGTTAAAGATGGGATCTCCTCAGAGATGGACAGCAGGCTTCTGAGCCAGGAGGGAGGTGCAGGTCGCCTCCACTCACATGCAGCGCGCATTTCACTAAGTGCAATGCCCTCGGTTGGAAAAGCTCCTCACTGTACAAGACAATAAAAGGGAAGTGCCACACTAGTGGCTCAGCGATCACTCTGACACATTAGAGTAATTATAGTAACCAGCGGTGGCCGGTGACTTCAGGAAAATGACACTTTTTTTTTAAGTTTATTTATTTTTGAGAGAGAGAGAGAGACAGGACATGAGCAGGGGAGGGGCAGAGAGAGAGGGAGACACAGAATCGGAAGCAGCTCCAGGCTCTGAGCTGTCAGCACAGCACTTTCTTATGAGTGAATGTAACGGGATGGGAAAGCAGAGATCTCTGAGCCTCTGCTGATGCTGAAGTCCCAAAGGCTCCAAATGACCCAGACCCCAGGGACCCCCGGGTCCTCTGGAGGGGCTACCTAGAAAGATGCTGCCGCCTGTGGGGCCAGCGCTGGCCACGGTGCCGTGGAGGGAGGAGAAGGGCAGGAGGTGGGGAGGGGCGGGTGTCTGGTGGGAACCACTGGGTGCCTTGCCTGCACCGCCCCCCGGGTGCCTTCTGGGAGCTGATGTCACGGGCGGGGGGGGGTGTCAGCTCGGAAGGCCAGGTAAAGAGGAGTGAGCACTCTGCCTGCGAGGGTCCGGTGGGGCTGCATGAATAGATATCCACCGGGAGGGAGGACTGGAGGGGAGAGGCCCCCCGCCCCCCACTCAGGGTGCAGATTTCATTTTTCTTCTCTGTTTTGGGAGGTTAGGGGCTGAGAAATAGCCCTTAAGGCAATATCATGCACCCAACCATCTGTTAAGTTCCTGCACATGCAGTTGTTTGGCAAGAAATAACAGGGGCGCCTGGGTGGCTCAGTGGGTTAAGTGTCTGACTTCGGCTCAGGTCATGATCTTACTGTTCGTGGGTTTGAGCCCCACGTTGGGCTCTGTGCTGACAGCTCAGAGCCTGGAGCCTGCTTTGGATTCTGTGTGTGTATCTCTCTCTCAAAAATAAATAAACATTAAGACCATTAAAAAAAAAATAATAGCAGGTCTTCCCCTCCCTTGTTCTCCATCCCTCTGACCGTCTAACAGAAGAAGCAGAAGTCAGAACTCGGGGAAGGGCTTTGCATCTATTCAGAAATCGCGGAATAAGATGAAACCCTTCTTGTGTTTCACCTCGAGTCCTGAGGCATGATTAATAGAGATGGAAATAATGTTGGTGAGGTGGCGGTGGACCTCGGCCAGGCTGCTCCGGGCTCCCGGGGAGGGTATCTGAGAAGGAAGGAGAATGGGGCTTTGGACAGAATGAAGGATGTTCCCCCTTCTGAATATTTAATCACAAGCAAACCTGCCTAAAATGAAGACCTCTCTGCTCTTCAAGTGGCAGAGTCGTCTCTGGAAATAGCTTAGGGAATAAGTAATTTATAGAATGGCACGGATCGTTATGGACAGCTTGCAGAGTACGTGTAGAAAACATGAGTAATCAACCTAGTAATTTAGGCCAACAACTTGTCATCAGGTCCAATGGGATTTTTGTCGTATTCCGAGATTGAGCGGTGAAGCTAAGGCATTTGGAGCACAGTTTCTGTGCAGGGCAGCAGAAGGCCCGAGGGCCCAGCCTGGGGGGAGGGCACGTGGGCGGAGAAATCCGAGCTCTTCCTTTGCTTCTGAGAGATGTGACACTCAGGAATGTGCCGGCGTGCATGTGCCAGGAGCCTAAGGGAAAGGCCATCGCCCCACACCTTTCTGTTTGACTTTTAGTTTTTATTTTTGTCCGCGAGTGCCCCAAACGGAGTCTTGCTGATGAAGTGTTGTACTGTAGCTAACAGCAGCCTTCAATTTCGTGGTCCCCTCCTTTCAGACACGTCACCTTTGTTATGTTGGTAGAACAAATGTTCATGAAAAAGTAAATGTGTGATTACCATTTATACCTAAGTGTCCACACGTAACATATATACAATTTTGTATATGCTTTATATTGTAAGGAATTTACAAATTATTTATAGTCATTTATGTTACATTTATAGTTAACATGAAATCAGATCACCACCAAAATCAGATTATATAGAACTTGGTTTTGGTGGCGATTTGCGTCCAGGGTTAAGCATCCATACGTGCCTTCTCTTTCCTCATATTAAGAAAGAAACACTCTACACACATGTCATTGAAAGACTTATTTATTTTGGGAAAAATGAACAAAATAATTTTTGAGGGGAGTGCCTGGGTAGGTCAGTTGGTTAGGCCTCTGACTCGATCTCAGCTCAGGTCTTGATCTCAAGGTCATTTGTTCAAGCCTCCTGCCTAGCAGGGAGCCTAGTTAAAATAATAATAATCATATTTTTGTATACATATCTCTGGAAGGAATTGGGTTTGACCCAAAGAGGGATGGGCATAGGCCTTTTTTATAACATTTTTTGGGGATTCTCAAATTCTTGTACCTCTACTGGTATACAGTTACATGAGAATAACAAGGGTCCTATAAAATATATACATCTATACACGTGTATATATATACATGTGTACATGTATACATATAAAATATACGTCTATATTTTAGAGAGAGTGAGCCCAAGCAAGGGAGAGTGGTCAAGGGAGAGGGAGAAAGAATCCCAAGTGGTTCTATGCTCAGCATGGAGCCTGACAAAGTGTTCAATCCCACGACCCTGGAATTACGACCTGAGCCAAAATCAAGAGTCAGACACTCAACCAACTGAGCCACCCAGGCTTCCCTTTTTTTTCTTATAAAATGTTTTTAATGACTTGTTTTGGTATGAGACAATATTCTCTGCAGAGGACTTAAAACATTGAGATATTAGGGGCACCTGGGTGGCTCATTTGGTTAAGTATCTGACTCTTGATTTGAGCTCAGGGTTAAGTTCAAGCCCCACATGGGGCCCCATGCCCAGTGTGGCGCCTACTAAAAAAACAGTAAGATACTAGGTATTTTCATGTCAAAGAAAACGCTTATTTAAAATTTTAGCCATATTTTTAGGAAATGACTTATTTTGCTTTATTTTGTGGATCATCTACAGCATGTTCACTGTCTAGAAAGTACAAATGAGTTATTTGGATTTTTTTCCACCCAGATAAGCAGCATATGAATCTGTTCACAGGAAGAACTTGGTGCAGTGTCCTCCTCTGCAGAGTAGAGTGGATGAATCAGTGTTGATTGTTCAGTTGACCAGTCTGGGCCTCTTTCTCAGGGGCTCTTAAGTGAGGCCATAGTGTCTGTGTATGAAAGCGGGTGTCGTGCATTTGGGGAGTGAATTCTCTGAAGGGAGGAACTGGCTGTAGCTGACTCTGGGGACGGAGGTCTGAGCTGTGGAGAGGACCAGAGTCCTGAGAAATGGCGGCTGGGAGACGAGAGCTCTGGGGGGGGGAGAAGGGCACCAAGAGTCGTATCTCAGGTGAGGCTGGCGCCCTGCTCTCCACGTGGGTGGAAAGGAGAAACCCCGAGAGAGAACAGAGTTCTTTGTGTTGCTCTTTGTGAGCTGGGGGACGGCCACTGGCTTTTTCTGGCTTGTCCTCTGTTCTTCCCACTCTCAGTCATCTCCACATGGGCTTTCCAGTCTCCTGTATTCTTTCTAAAGCCACGTTTGTTCAAGGTGATGCCTGTGCCCATTTTCATAACTGTGAGTGAAGTGCTTTTTCGTTGGGTGTGCTTGGTATTTAAGTTTCATAGCAAATTGTCTTTTCTCTCTTTCTTTCTCTTCTCCCAATCCCCCTTTTCCTTCATAACCAATTCTTATTTTTTGGCATGAAAGCTTAGCAGAGAATTAAAAGCAAGTCAAAGACGTCAACTAAAACCTAGGATGAAGGCATCTCTATATTAGGTTGATTATACCACAGTTGGAACATTGGTAAGATTAAAATTTTAGACTTTAAATAATCACTCTGTTGATCCTTTCTAATGAAGAGGTGTGATTTCATTGTTTACCTCATTTAAATAATAGCAAGATTATTTGTGTTGCATAGTATAGTAGGAGAAAGGATTTAATTTCTGTAAATCTAAGCAAGACATTACAAAATAAAGCCAGTCTAATAGTAATCTTTCTCTACTCTTGACACAGATTAGGAAAAAGCAGCAAGAAGTAGTGGGCTTTTTGGAAGCTAATAAGATTGACTTCAAGGAATTAGACATCGCTGGAGATGAAGAAAATAGGAAGTGGATGAGGGAGAATGTTCCTGGAGAGAAGAAACCTCAAAACGGGATCCCTTTGCCCCCCCAGATCTTCAATGAAGAGCAGTATTGTGGGGTGAGTATTAGATTTCCTGGAAAATTCTCTTGTGTGTGTGTTTACCAGAAATTGTTTAAAGCAGAGTAATTTGGAGGCAGAATTTGAACTTGTTGACAGTTTCAGGACATGATCTATTTCTCCCAGTACTAGGACGGTGGACCCATTGTGAGTCATCAATGCGTAAGATTTACAAAAGGAGAGAAACAAGGACGTGGAAGTTCCTCAGATTATTTTAGGTTCTTTATTTTGTTTTGTAGAGTTGAGTTCACTTGTTCAAATAAAGTATGCATTTAGTTGGAAAGGGATTCTTTTTTTACTTATTTTTTAAATTTTAGAGCAAGAGAGCGAGCACATGTGCATGCATGCACATGAGCAGTGGGGGGAGGAGGGGCAGACGGAGAGAGAGACTCCCACTCAGGCTCCATGCTCAGTGTGGGGTGTGACTTGGGGCTTGATCTCACAACACTGGGATCATGATGTGAGCATAAATCAAGAGTCAGACATTAAAGTGACTGAGCCATCCAGGTGTCCCAGTTGGAAAGGAATTTTGATCAGTTTTGCAAGGTACCGATCCATGAACCCAGCCAGACAGAGATAGGCTTTCACTTAAAAAATTTTTTTTTTTAATGTTTATTTTTGAGAGAGAGTGTGAGACACAACCACATGAGTATGAGAAGGGCAGAGAGAGAGGGAGACACAGAATCCGAAGCAGGCTCCAGGCTCCAAGCTGTCAGCACAGAGCCCAATGTGGGGCTGGAACTCACAAATTGAGAGATCATGTCCTGAGCTGAAGTCAGACGCTTAACTGAGCCACTCAGGCACCCCAGCTTTCTTTCACTTTTATAAAAATGATTTGCAGGGACACCTGGGTGGCTTAGTCAGTTAAACGTCCGACTCTTGATTTGGGCTCATCATGATCTCACGGTGGTAAAATTGAGCCCCATGTCAGGCTCAGCACTGAGCATGGAGCCTTCTTGGGATTCTCTCTCCCTCTCCCTCTCCCCCTCCCCTGCTTGCGCTCTCTAAAAAAAAAAAATGATTTTCAGAAGTCAGGTCTTCATATAGATACCTTAAACTTGTTTAAATGTATCTAGATAGCTTAAACACTGTCCTGGACACTTAGATTACAACAACAATTTTATTTTATACATTTAGCAGTTCACTTCACCAGAAAATCACTTTTTCCCCCGAGTTTACAGTTCTGCTTAGTAAGTCAGGTTGTTGAAAAGAAACATTTAAACACTCAAAGGACTTCAGAACACGAGACCCAGAAGCTATCTGAGTATCATCTGAGCCTTCTAAGGCCATTTGTCAGATACAGCCATCAGGGCTCCGGACGGTAGAGGGAACACAGTGTTGATTTGCTCCTGAAGACTAGAGCCACCTGTGGGAATCTTAACTCGCCTCTTCTTGCACACAGAGCGGCTGGTTCTTTAGATGAGTTCGTCTCTATTTTTCTGGTCTAAAGCAGGCATGGTCCAATTAAAGACCAGAGGCCAAAGCCGGTAGCTGCCCGTTTTAGTAAATACAGTGTTCTTGGAACTCATCCACCTTAATTCAATGACCCATCACCCGTGGCTGATTTTGCATAATGGGAGAGCTGGGTAGTTGCAACGGACTCCGTATGACCCCCAAAGCCAGACGGTTTTTTAGTAGGTGTCCATCCACAGAAAAGCTCTGGAGGCCTGCCTCTGATGTTTGGTTATTGGAAGTTTGTATTCGTTCCCTAAGGCTGATGTAACACAGCACCACAAACATGGTGGCTGCTGTGGGCTGTCTGTGCCCTCCCCAGATTCATAGGTTGAAGCCCTAACCTCCATGCTGAGGGTATTTGGAGATGGGGCCCTTGGGAAGTATCAGCTCAGATGAGGTCACACAGGAAGGGGGGGTCTTCATGACGCAGTTAATGTCCCTAGAGGAAGAGGAAGAGAGGGAGAGATCCCTCTCTCTCCACCATGTGAGCACACGGCCAGAGGCGGCTGTCTGCAAGCCAGGAAGAGAGTCCTCGCCAAAACCCAACCGTACTGGCGTCCAGCCCCCAGAGCTGTGAGGCAGACATTTCTGTCACTTAAGCCCTTCAGTCTGTGGCGTTTTATTAGGCCACCCAAGCTGACTAGTTCTGTGCTTTAAAATAACAGAAATGCACTCTCGCACAGCTCTGAAAGCCAGAGGTCCGAAGGCAAGGCATCAGTAGCGTTGGTTTCTCCTGAAGGCTATGAGGGAGAATCCATTCCATGCCTTTCTCGTAGCTTCTGGTGCTTGCCAGCAACCCTCGGTGCGCCCTGGCTCGCAGATACTCTCTCCAGTCTCCGTCTGCATCTCTCCTTGTGTTCTTCTTGTCTCCCCGTCTTCACTCGGCTTGTTGTAAGGACAGCAGTCATTGGAATAGGGCTCATGCCACTCCAGTATGGCCTCACCGTAACTGATTACATCTGTGACTATCCTGTTTCCGAGTAAGGTCACTTTCGCAGGTTCTGGGTGGACAGGGATTTGTCCGGAAGAGGATTCCACCCTGAACAGGGCTGTGTGGATTTACGTGGCCGTGTTAGCATTCCTCAGAGGCTTAGCTCAGTCCTGGGTGGGGGGTGGGGGGGTGTTGTCAAACGGTATGAATGTGGCAAGCACTTATTTAAGAGAACGTATGGTCCAGCCCAAGCCTCCTGTGGGTTTAAGCTGGGGCTTCTCAGGATGTGGAACGGATTTCCTGTGTGAGGAAGGGCCCTCCCTCCGCCTCCTCTCCTGCCTTCCCTGCCCCTCCCCGCCGCCTGACATCCCTGTACCCCGACCCGTATTTCTAAGACTTGGGGCTCTTTTTTTTAATGTTTATTTATTTATTCTGAGAGAGAGGGAGAGTGAGCGAGCAGAGGGGAGGGGCAGAGAGAGAGAGAGGGGGAGAGAGAATCCCAAGCAGGTTCCATACCACCAGCACAAGAGCGCTTGAACCTGTGAACCGTGAGATCAGAACCTGAGCCGAAATCAGTCAGACGCCTAACTTACTGAACCACCCAGGTACCCCCCAAAAATCTTTTATACATGCAGAACCTTATACGCAGTATGGATATATGTGTGTAGAGATAAATTCCTAGATGTGTTGAGTTAAAGCAAGTGTGCACTTTGTATTTTCAGTAGGCATTGGCAAATGGCCCGGTGCTTCCCTGTGCCAACTTCGGTTTCCCCCCACCTAGTCTGAGGGTGACTAGTTCCCTGTGATCTTGACCATACTGCATATGCAAACTTCTGAATCTTTGCCAATCTAATAGATGGAAAATATATTCTCACTGCTTTGACTTGGATTTCTGTCTGTATGAGTAAGGCTGAACTCCTTTTCCTATGTTTATGAGCTATCTGTGTTTTTCTGTGCCTTACTGTTTTTCTTTTGGGTCACAGGTAATATTTATTGTTTGGTACAAGTCTTTATTTATGAAGGAAAGTAGGCCTTTTCCTGCCTTAGATGTTGCAAATTCTTTTCCCACATTTTTTGTCTTTTGACTCTTTAAAGTGATGTTTTTTGGAATGCAGAACTTGACATTTTTTTTATGTAGAAAGATTCATTAATCTTTTTTCTTTATGGTTCCTGACCCTGAGTCTTGCTTAGAAAAGCCCTCTGCTCCCTGAAATTATCAAAAGAATAATTTCATTTTTTCCTTTAGTACTTTTCCAATGAAAGTCATATTTTAAATATACTTTTGCTTATTTTCTTTTAAATTAAGGCTACTTACAGTAGAGACAGTGTTGAAGTATGTAGCTTTCAACCTATGTTGGGGTAAACATTCTGTAGTTAGGTTTTATTATGTAAAAAGAAAACTCCGAAGGCATTTCTTACCCTGTTTTGCTGTGATCTAGCAATTTCTTTTCATCTTAGTTGTGGGGGTAGGGAAAGAAAAGTTTTCCTTTTTACTAAGAAAATGACTTCTACTTTTAAAGAAGAAATATTATTTTGTAATATTGGAACATTTTGAATATTATTTTGTAATGTTTTCCTGTTACAAGTATGGATCTAATGAGATGAGCCCACATATTATTTTATCTTTAGCTATTAATGTTAATTCTTTCCAGTTCTGCCTTCAGAGAGGTATTAGTAGGTTGTCTTATGAGCAGCTTTGCCAAATTTGCTTTCCTGCTGTCTGCGGACACTCTTTGTTTATGTGTTTTTTTTTTACGTTTACTTATTTTTGGGGGGGGGGGGAGAGACAGAAGGTGAGCAGGGGAGGGGCAGAGAGGGAGACACGGAATCTGAAGCAGGTTCCACGCTCTGCGCTGTCAACATAGAGCCTGTCGTGGGGCTCAAACTCATGAACCATAAGATCATGACCTGAGCCAAAGTCGGACGCTTGACCGACTGAGCTACCCAGGCACCCCTAGTCTGTCGACACTCTTAAGAAAAGTGCACTGATGACGCAGAGGGCTTTGTTTCCCGAAAGTAGCTAAAAATGATTATTTGTATTGTAGGTTCAGATTAAAAAAACTTTTTTTAACATTTATTAATTTAAAAATTTTTAAATGTTTTTTATTTATTTCTGAGAGAGAGAGAGAGAAAGACAGTGTGAGGAGGGGAGTGTCAGAGAGAGAGAGGGAGACACAGAATCTGAAGCAGGCTCCAGGCTCTGAGCTGTCAGCACACAGCCTGACGCGGGGCTCCAATCCACAGACCGCGAGATCATGACTTGAGCTGAAGTGGGACGCTTAACCGACTGAGCCACTGAGGCACCCCACATTTATTTTTGAGAGACAGAGAGAGACAGAGCACGAGCAGGGGAGGAGCAGAGAGAGAGAGGGAGACATAGGATCCGAAGCAGCTCCAGGCTCTGAGCTGTCAGCACAGAGCCCGACGTGGGGCTCGACCCCATGAACCGTGAGATCGTGACTTGAGCCAAAGTTGGACGCTCAACCGACTAAGTCGGGCACCCCTGGAGATTCGGATTTTAAAAGGAGACTCAATGGTTCTGAAGGCTATGTCAGGTTTAACATGGTAGAGGGAATTGAGGGACAAGCAGTGGCTTCTCGCGCCAGGGCAGGGAGAGGAGGGCAGCTCTGTGCACCTCCATGGCCCTGCCTGTGCTGCCCCGTGCAGAGCAGATGAAGAGCGTGTCACAAGGGCATGGCAGGCAGCCATTAGCTAGAGGAAGGAGACATCCGACGTGGAGCCGGGCACAGCGAAGGCCCACTTACCCGCCTGCCCAGGGAGTACCAGCTGGACGTCATGGACGTGTCTGGGTGCTGGGTTGGAGGCTGCGCGTCTTAGCCCAGGTACGGGCTGGGTGCCTGCTGGGGCCTGAACGCAGCCAATGGGGACCTTGGCCCCCTGGCACAGGCGGGCATCCTCAGGCCTGCAGGGAAGCGGGATGCCAGCCCAGCAAGGGTCGGGGCAGGGCTCACTCCACCACAGGTGGCACTGAAGGAGCTATTTCACATGATTAAAAACTTACTATGACGGGCGCCTAGGTGGCTCAGTAGGTTAAGTGTCCGACTCTTGATTGATGATCTCATGGCTCATGAGTTCGAGCTCCACATCTGGCTTCTTGCTGACAGTGCGGAGTCTGCTTGGGTTTCTCTCTCTCCCTCTCTCTCTGTCTCCCCCCCAACCCCCACTTGTGCTGTCTCTCTCTCTTTCTCTCTCAAAATAAATAAATAAACTTAAAAAAAAAGCTTACTATGAAATATAACGTGATAAAAATAGAGTTTAAAGAGGAATAATAAAATGTTCAACCATGTGGGCACCAGGGGGGCTTGGGTGGCCCAGTAGGATAAGCATCTGATTCTTGGTTTTGGCTCAGGTCATGATCTCATGGTCTGTGGGTTCAAGCCCACAGTCGGGCTCTGTGCTGACAGCATGAAGCCTGGCTGCGACTTTCTCTCCCCGTCTCTCTCCCCCTCCCCTGCTCTCTCACTCTCACTCTTTCAAAATAAATTTTAAAAATAAAATAACAAAACAAAACAAAAAACTACGCATGCACCAGATATCAAAAGAGACGTTAACTCCTCACTCACTGTTTCCTTACTTACATGAGGTTTTTTTTTTTAAGTTTACTTATTTATTTGGAGGGAGAGAGTGTATGCGTGGGAGGGGCAGAGAGAGAGGCAGAGAGAGAGAATCCCAAGCAGGCTCCGTAGTGTCAGCACAGAGCCTGATTTGGGGCTCATTCTCATGAACTGTGACATCGTGACTGAAATCTAGAGTTGAACGCTTAACTGACTGAGCCACCCAGGTGCCCTGTGTTTTGTTGTTTTAGCACCTTAGTTTGTTGGCCTTCATCCCACCCCACAATGTAGGCATTTCTAATAAGTGAGTCTCTCTTGGTGCTAAGTTCACTAAATTTTGAGGTAAAAAGAACATTTTTTCGGGGGCACCTGGGTGGCTTAATCGGTTGAGCATCTGACTCTTTTCTTCAGCTCAGGTCATGATCCCAGGGTTGTGGGATCAAGCCCCGTGTCGGGCTCTGTGCTGAGCGTGGAGCCTACTTAAGATTCTCTCTCTCTCCTCTCTGCCCCTATTCCCCGCTTGTGGTCTCTTCCCTTAAAAAAAAAAAGACTAATGTCTCTTTTACTTCATGTCTAAAAAATATAGTTTCACCAGGTCTAAAATTCTGGGTTGATGGTTATTTTTTCTAAACACACTGAAATTATTATTTTACTTTCTTCTGACTTCTGAGTTGCTATCAAGAAGCCACTCATCAATCTAATTATCTATCTAATTTTCTTTCATGGGGAAGGTCTTCCCCCTTCCCCTGAGTGCCGTGTGTTCAAGCTGGGCCAGACACACCACCCTCAGTGTGCAAAGAGGCTGCATCCCTGCCCTGCTGACAGAGATCAGCGGTCTGGGGAAGTAGTCCAGGGAATATCTTTTATGTTTTAATTGTATGAAATGAGGAGCACCCGGGGGGCTCAGTCAGTTAGGTGTCCAACTTTGGCTCAGGTCATGATCTCATGGTTCGTGGGTTTGAGCCCGGCGTCAGGCTCTGTGCTGACAGCTCAGAGCCTGGAGCCTGCTTCGGTTCTCTCTCTCTCTCTGCCCCTTCCCCACTTGGGCACTCGCTTACTCTCTCTCCAAAATAAATAAATAAATAAATAAATAAACAAACAAACATATTAATGATATGAAATGAAATTCTTCCAAGCTTTGGACAGCCGCATTACTGGTAGGGCTGAGCCCACCTGCTGGGTGGCGGGGTGGCGGGGGACTTAGCTGAGCTTCAGATTTCAGTCATCTACCAGGACTCACCTCATTCTGTAGTTTCTCCCACTTTGCCAAAACAAGCAATGCGGTAAGCCCTCAGTAGCCTTCTGGCTGCTGGTATCTGAAGGTCTGAGATAGGGGTGGTCCGGTAGAAGCTGCTATAGCAACACTGGAGAAATCCTGTGTCGTCTTCGTCCCCACTGGTCAGGGTCAAATCCACGGGGCCAGATTGCAAGGAAACCAGCTAGAGATGTGAAACTTTCGGAGAACCCCTCACTCTGTATATCTGTCTTATCAGCAATTTCAGAGCACCACCAGGTGTGTGTGTGTGTGTGTGTGTCTGTGTGTCTGTGTGTGTGTGTTTGTGTGTGAGTTCTCACTGTTCTGTATTCTGCACAGTGAAATGAGAAAAACAAATGTAAAGTTCACAGTCAGAGATTCTTACCTTTGGGGGCTAGTCATCTTTGACAAAACGAACTGGGATAGCCTTTTGTGTAGCTTCTAACTTAATGATTAATAGAAAAGATCAACTTAGGAAAATATTCTGGCTCTCAAGTGCCCAATGAGTTTAAACATTTTTTTTTTCTTCAAGGATTTTGACTCTTTCTTCTCTGCCAAAGAAGAAAATATTATTTATTCATTTCTTGGCTTGGCTCCCCCTCCTGGGTCAAAGGTAAGCTTGAACACCCCATTGAGGCCCAAGTCATCATAAATGCAGATAAAAATCAGCATCCAAGACTGTTTAATAAATAATGATCTTTTAAAAATAATTTTTTATGTTTTTTTATTTTTGAGAGAGACAGAGTGTGAGTGGGGAAGGGGTACAGAGAGGGGGAGACACAGAATCTGAAGCAGGCTCCAGGCTCTGAGCTGTCAGCACAGAGCCTAATGTGGGGCTTGAACTCACTAACAGGTAAATCATGACCTGAGCTGAAGTCTGATGCTTAACATACTGACCCCCTCAGGTGCCCCTCAAATAATGATCTTTAAGTTAACATGACTTTTAATATATTCCTTATCCTGATGAAGTCTTATGCATAGAGATAATGCAAGGTTTGGTTTTTACTAACGCATGTTCCAAATCTATGCTTTTCATATTTTTGCTGTATTTTTCTATATTTTATAACTCGTTGTAAGTTTTACAACACTGAAATAAAGAAATACTGCATTCAGTCATCTTAAATACACTAAATAAATACGTACAAATTTGAGTTCCCAGATTGTGTTTACGAAGCTATCTTGTAATGAAGTGACTTCTCGTGTAACTTATTGTAGTTAATTTTATAATATTGCATCACCCTATTTTAATTCTTTCTTTTTAAAATGAGTTGAATTTTGCTTTTTTAGTCTGATAAAGGGGGAAAGTAAGATCTAGTCACAGTCTCGACAGGTTTTTTTTCTTCTGGTGTTGTCTCATCTTTGATTACTTTCAATTAAATACAGACATAAAATTATGAAAATTAAAGTGAATTAAAATTAACATCAATTAAAATGAGTTAAAATTAAAATCAATTATTAATTAAAATTAAAACTAATTAAAATTAAAAGCATCAATTAAAATTATTTCAATTCAATGCAGATTTATGCTAATGAGGCTAATATTAGGAATTTGTCTCCTGGAGATCATGTGGCTTCAGTCTCTCCACCAGTCACTGCATCCTTACTTCTCCCAAGATCTCACCCATGACTCTCCACAGATACAAGTACACATTTGTTTAATTCATGTATTTTTTGACTTGGTTGTTTGTACTCAGCTTCATTTCAGAAATGACTTGTGACAACTGAGTCCAAATTAATTCTCACTGTAGGAGAAACCACTCAAAGTGCTACCTTAGAGAGACAGGTTGGTCTCAGAGGCGTGTGGCTATGCTGTCTCTCATACGTCAGCATTCTTCAGGTGATAGCATTTGGGACCTCAGTGCTCAGCTCGAGTACCAGTACCTTATCCAAACGTAACATGTAGGTTTCCCAGTTGGTTAGTGGGTTTATAGGAGGAAGAAAATCTTCCCGTTTAGTGAAATACCTTTGTGGCCTGGGGCAACTTAAATGTAATACATTTCATACACCCTATCAACAATTTTAAAAAGGCTATTACATGCAATGTAATCTTTTTTACTTGGTGTAGGAGTTTGGCATGAGAGTTTTATTTGGTATAGGAGTTTGTTAATTTGGTCATGTTAGCTTAGTTATTATGTTTAAGACATGGCACCTTGGTGTTAAGGTATATTTCTTGGTGGGGACACTAAGGTCACTTATGTCTGAAGATGGGAAGGAAGGGTAGAGGGAAGGCTGTTTCAAGCAAAGGGAAGAGCAAGTGCAAAGTCCCTGAGGCAGGAAAGAGCTTAGAAAGTTCTAAGAGCTGCCATGAGCCCGCCATTGCCAGAATGAGGGGTGGGGGTACCACAGGAGGTGGGAGCTTCGGGTGGGTGGCCCATGGGGCACAGCGATGTTCTAGGTTCTCTCTCAGATGCAGTGGGGATGATGTAAGAGGTTTAAGTGGAGAAGTAATCTCATCTCCTTCTTGAAAACTCATTTTGGCTACTATGGGGTGAATGGACTAAAAGGGTACAAACTTTCTTGGTAACGGATGAGGTGTCATGGCGGCTTAGACCAGGGTGGCGGGATAGAACGATACAGAAGTGGAGATTTGGGGGCCTGTTTTGGAGGAAGACCTGGTAATCTTGCTGATGGATTGAATGTGGGGGTGGGGATGGAATGAATGGTTGCTTCTAGCCATTGAGTGTAGACACCCACTTCAGCGGAGGCACCATCTCTGCAGGGGGGTTAAGTTTGAACGAGACATCCAGATGAAGAAGTGAGGTAGATGGTTGCAGACTGAGCTTTGTCTCGTTGAGCTCTGGGGGAAGAGGCCCATGGAATCCAGCTAACGTGGATGGAGCTAAAGTGGGGGGGGTCAGTAGTGAGGATGCTGGGCTCGGAGGGGCCCCGAGCTTAGAGCTGCATAGAGGCTGAGCAGAGGCCAGTTGAGGGGGCAAAGGGGGACCCTCTTTGAGGCAGGAGGAGACCAGGAGCGTGTGGTGTTAAGGTAGCCAAGGAGGAACATTTTTCACACTGGAGGGTCTGCTGCTTCCGAGAGACTGAGTCCGGTGAGGACAAAAAAGTGACCGTTGTCCTAGATGACACAGAGGTCCTTGGTGGCCGTGTCAGAAGTGGCTTCTGAGGAGGGGTGAAGACAGGAGCCAGGCTGGAGGGGTCGAAGGAGAGCTGGTGGTAAGAAGGCGGGGTGACACGTGGTCAGTCATCTCTGGGGAGTGTCCCAGGGACGGGAGAGGACGGCAGCAGCGTTGTCCCTACAAGCGCCGGCTCATTCCTGTCCCTGAACCATGAGCCCTGCTGCTCTGCTCCCCCACCAAACCCCCCCCCCACCCCCCAACCCCCAGGGCGCAGGTGTCCTTGCCTTCTCTCTCCTGCCACCTGCTGGACAGAATCCTGCTACTTCTCAGCCCCCACTTTCCAGACCCCAGATCGGCGGGCGGTGGAGGGGAGTCTAGATTTTACAGCTGAAGACCCGCTGGTGGTTTTGTAAACAGCACAGAGTTTTCTATCCTGGGAGGAGAGTTTTCCAGTAACCTTTTACAGATCACATTCTTAGAGCCCTGTCTGCCCCAGGGGTCGCAGTGAACAAGGGGCAGAGGGGCAGCAGAGCAGCGCGCACTCTGTTCACAGTCCTGGGCGTCATGTGCTCTTCATTTCTTTTCTTGTAATGTGCTGTTTTTCATAATGATCACTTCTTATTTTTAAAAAATTTATTTATTTATTTCAACATTTATTCATTTTTGAGAGAGACAGAGCGTGAGCAGGGAAGGGGCAGAGAGAGAGAGGGAGATACAGGATCTGAAGCAGGCTCTAGGCTTCGACCTGTCAGAACAGAGCCCAACGTGGGGCTCGAACCCACGAACTATGAGATCATGACCTGAGCTAGAGTCAGATGCTTAAATGACTGAGCCACCCAGGCGCCCCTAAAATTTATTTATTTATTTGTTTGTTTGTTTGTTTATGTATTTTGAGACAGAGAGAGAAGAGGGCAGAGAGAGAGAGGGAGAGGGAGAGAATCCCAAGCAGGCTCCACACTGTCAATGCAGAGCCCAACATGGGTCTCGAACTCACGGCTGCCACGAGGTCATGACCTGAGCCTAAATCAAGAGTCAGATGCTTAACCAACTGAGCCACTCAGGCGCCCCTTGTAATGATCATTTAAAACTTAAATACTCTGTTCTTTGGGTGCATCCTAATTGATTTACTTTATTCCTTTGTAGTTAATCTTACTTATTGTATCATAAACTTGTTCCTGCTTTGACAGTCACAGTGGTCATTTAAATAGTTCTTATAATAGTTGATCAAGTTGGTGTGTCCTAATTTTCTTCACTATGCTTATATTTTTGAACATTTGTTTTTTATCATAAATGACTTTACAGTGATTCTTGGTGTGAAACATACTGTCTTTCTTTTGGAGTATTTCCTTAGGATGCATTCCAGTAGTGCTTTTAGTAAGATGGAGGTGCACCGGCATCTTTATGGGCTTGACATGTGACACCAAATCGCTCTGTGCTGGGCTGGTGACATTCATCCTGGGCACCCTGGCTCACTCCCTTCACACTAAGACTGATGACCATGTTTAATCTCCTTACTTTTAGGATCACCAGATTCTATTTTATTTTATTTTTTTAAGTTTATTTTGAGAAAGAGGGAGAGTGAGCAGGGGAGGGGAAGAGACAGAGGGAGGGAGAGAATCCCAAGCAGGCTTCGCACTGTCAGCACAGAGCCTGACTTGGGGCTCGATCTCACAAGCCATGAAATTGTGACTTGAGCTAAAATCAAGACTTGGACTCCTAACTGACTGAGCCGCCCAGGCGCCCCAACTGCCAAAATTTTCTTTAAAAGAAATTTCCAAAGCCTCTCCATTCTGTGACTGAAAAGACATATCCCCATTCATTCCGTGGCTTATTTAACAAATATTCTATTTAAAATTTTAGTTTCTGATTTTACTGTACTACAAAGAGGAAATACGGGATGATGAATTTCTATCTTATGGGCGTCTTTGTAACCCAATGGGTATTTTCGTTTCTCTATGAAAAGATTGTTTCTTGAATATTAACAAAGCAACTGTGATCAAATTAATATTTGTGTAATATGGTCAAGGTCTAAAGGCGCCACAAGGATTACCACAAAACGTGGATGCTCCTGCCCCCAACTGCATGGTTTCCCTTTCCTGTTAGGCACAGAGTTCCAGGCTGGACAGATGGGTCTGGGAAGTGTGAAGGCGCGGCTCCCTGTTCTGTCCGGATGGCAGTGTTGAGAAGCCCGATGCCAGTCTCTCTCTTGTGCCTGCTATTGTTTTTCTCCTTTCTGGGAGACTTTAGGATCCACCTTTATGTTTTGAAGATGAGGTGCTGGGTAGAGGTCTTTTCCTCATTGTTGGTGCTTGCTGGGCCCTTGGGATCTGCAAAATCGTGCCCATTGCTTCTGGGAAAGGATGGGGACACTACCTTTGTGGTGGTTCATTTCCTGTTAGTTTGCATGTTCTTTCCTTCATTCTTTTCAGAATTCCTCTTAATTTACATAGTGGACCTTTGGACTAACTCTCCAATTTTCTTTCTGTTTAAAAAGAATGTTTTTAACTGTTTATTGATTTTTGAGAGAGAGAGACAGAGA